CAAGAGTCTCTTGATCTTTTGGTTCTGAAAGTCATCGCACCAACTTTCAAACATATCCAATCATTCATAACTTCTCCCTCTGAGAAAGATGTCGAACTTCTTTTGCATGTTTATCTCTGATCCTCTTTACAGATACATTTAAGACCTTCCCTACATTAACATCCCTACTCTTCACCGTGCTTCAGATGATTCATTTTTCTTTTCAAAACTAAATGCCAATATTTTTTTGATCTCAGGAGTGAAACTGACCTTTTGCCTCTGTTTTTTTTAATAGCTGTGAGGAAGCATTGTTACTTTTGAAGCCTCATGGTATTTTCTGCTTGAACAGAAGTTTAAGCATAGCCGAAACATGTATTTTTCACCTTAGATAATATGCCAGTTCTCTAAGAGTGAGAGGCTCAACAGGTAAATGGCCAAGGATTTTACTGAAATCAACCATCTAAGTTAGACCAGCTGAGACTCTGGTTGGAGATATCAAAAGGAATCCTCTCTAGACAGCAAGTACAGTCAGCAATTGACTTTAAGTTACTTTTCCTGTCAATACGTACTTTTGCCTTGAGGATGTCAAAGACTGTTTTTCTGAATCTCCTTTGTACTTTTTTGTGGTGGTCTTTGTGTTATTTGGGTATAAATTCACCTTCACGCAATATATTCACTTCTCTTGTACCTTGGCTTTTAGACTGGGTGCTGAGCTGATCTCTCTGTGAAAGCTGTTTGACACATCCTGTGACTGTCACTGAACAAGACCAAGTAGCCTCTTTTTCTGCACATTGGTTTCTCATACTTCAGTGACTGTCCTGTTCATTTTTGGAGGGCCTTGTAGCTCCGCTTCATTTCCTACACAAACCAACTGCTGCAGTTGAGTAGGCTGAAAGCACTCATGTCCATTTTTCTTCCACACTGCCCTTTCTTCATGCTTTTTTCCTCCCTATACCTTCAACAATGACTGAGTTAGGTGGTAGAAAATTTCAAGACCCAAAAAAACCACAAAGTGGTGACTCCTTGATTTCATTGCATTTTCCATAATGATCAGTATTCTTCTCTTGTGTGGGTGGGAAGGTATGCATCAGCACTGCTTCCTGGCCAGAATGTTGCTGGGAAATGAAGTTTGGTAGAGAGGCAAAGCCCACAACAAAGAATGGGAACGGGAGGGACTTGAGGTCTCTGGAATGTTGTGATGGCTCTCCAGAACTGAAGTATTTCATGCAGTTTCTTGGTTTGCCTGCTCGGGTTTTCAATGAAAAATTGAAGTGTTCTGCAGAAAGCAGAATGATTTCATGAATAATTCACTGCAACTGAAAGCTCGACTCTCTGTTGCAAAACAGTTTGATGTAAAACTTTTCAGTTGCTTCTAATTAGGATGACTGTAGAGCTCTCTCTGTACTGTCCTGGGGCTCAAAAGGCAACACAGCTGTTGTCCTGCATCTTCAGTGGCAATAAATGTTTGATCAGCTTGTGTGCTTAAGATATAGGCTTGAGAGGAGGGAAACAAGGCGTAGATTACTGAAAGTCCCCTTGGATTCTCCTCAGAAATTACATGACGGCATTCTTTAGGCCAGGGGTAAGGCTTATTTTTTTACTTGCTTGTTTTTTCATTGGATTTTTGCATTGCACAAAGCCTTATGTTTGTTCATTCATTTGTTTGAAAAATTTCGGCCTTGTTTCTTATTCTGCCGTTGCACTGGGTATGTTGCCTGTTTGTTGCAACCGGTATTTTTCGCTGAGATGGATTAAAGTATTCAAATACCTTTACACTGATGTGCTTCTAAGCAAAATTCTGTAATTATTACTGAGGATATGTACTGTAAGAAATAATTATCCCATTTTCGGTGTAAGAGAAAACTGAGGCTGCCAATTGCTGCATGGCCAACCTCAGCAAAAAGGTCACCACAAGTCACCAAAGCTGGTTTGGGAAGTTTTAACAGCACATACATTAGTCTCTCCCTCAGCAGAATATGTGCTTTTCAATCCTCAGGAGTTCCAGAGTCAATGGGCACCTTATCCCTGACCATCTTCTCATTTTTCTGCCTGACTACTGGAATATGGGCAGCATTTGGTGGAGGTGGCGCATAAACCCCGTGGCTGATTTCATCATTCTGTCAAAGGGAGGAAAATAATCAAAGAGCTGCAGCAAGAAAACAAATGGCCAAATAGTTGTTGAAGCAGGAGGTTCCAACTCACTGGAGCTCAGCTTATTACAGGCCATATGCCTGAGTGGCTCCTCTCACCAAGTGCTGCACCCAGATATGGAAACAAGTGTGAAAGTGCCTGTGGTTCATCAGGCCTGATTTACTATAACCATATGCAACTACTGAGAGACTGAAAATAAGAACCTGAAGAGGCTATGAGGCCAAGAGGAGAAAGAATCCTTGACAAAATAAAACATTATTATATAAATTCCCAAATATTTATGTAAAGATGTTAACAGGCAATAATAATTTGCTTTCCAAGCTAACAGCAGATGCTCTTGTTTTAGCACCTAGGCTATGTTCATTAATAATGATGGATATATTAATATAAGTAGGGAAATAAACTGAAATACTCTTGCACTTTATTTTTAAATATCATGGGTTTAAATTAGTAGTTTCTCTTGACAGATATCATTAGCTCATGTCCTTTTCAGTATGCCCAATGTTTGCAGGGCTTGCTGTGTAAATGAGGGACTAAGCACATGACTCAGCTCCTGAATGATGGATGTGTTACAGAGACTGAATGACAGAACTACCAGAATAAGGAGAACAGAAAGGGTGGAAGAAGTCTGTTTTTAAGCTGCCATTTCAGCTATCTTTACTTGGCAGAGCTTGTTCCCAAGAGTGTTAAAGGCTTAGGCCCCAGCCAACCGTTTCATTTGGGTGTAAGGAAATTTTAATCATCTGGCATAGGTAAGTGACCATCAGCAACAGAGTTTGCTCTACAGCTGCTGTATTCCCCATTCTCTCTGCAGAGTGATCATTTTCTTGTAGGTCTTAGTTGCTTGGTGACTTATTCTGGAAGACTTTTTCCTGCCAAAGTGGGTTTGCTAACTTGGAAAAAGTATTCTTATTCAAAACAATGAGACAACCACTTTTAGTTATTCTGGAGGAGGTACTCCACTCTAACTTCATACCATGACCTTGATTCAAAAGGATTTCTCTAAAGAAGATGATGCTTCATCTCTCATCACCCCTTCTGTATTTTTGTGGCCAGTTGCACAGCTCTGTGTGGCCTTTTTCTCCTCTAGACTGGGATTGTGTCACCTGTCTAGTAGCTCTTTGCACACATAATTCTCACTGCTCTCATAATTCACTACAGCTACATCAATCCACCCACATTTTGTAAAAAGGATGATGACAAGCTCTATTTAATTTCATTTCATTTATACTCCCCCTCTATGCGAAAGACTCCTGTTCTACCTTTGAAACCTTTCACCTTTATTCTCCACTTCTGTGGCTTTTGCCTCCCCTTTTATATTGCCTACCTGAAGGCTTTTTTCCTGGCTTGCGTGTCTTGCTTAACTTTCCCAGCAGCACATCAAGTAAGGATGCCCTTCATAACTACAATGAGCTGTGCTGACAGCATTGGTCTGTCTCTGTTTTAGTTTGAAATGCTGTTACATGAAATGCTAGGAAGGTGTCTAGACATGGTGCAGAGTAGGCATCACATGCACACTTAGCAGACATTACTAATCCTTCAACGCCAGTTGCTGTCCTCATCTGTGTTAGTTCAGAGAAAAAAAAAGGTTATGTGACAATGTTTTCACCTGCACAGGATGGTTTTAATAGCTTTTCTTCTTGTGTAACAATAAGCAGAACTACATACGGAAAGTTGGTTTCTTAGAAATCAAAAAAATTGTCTTACCAGTCTTCATAAAATTTGCCATTCTTTGCTTCTGTATTGCATAAAAGTCCATTAATTATCTCACTGTCTCTGAACATGGCTCCAAAGAAGAAGGTGACCACCTTTTTCAATAAAATTGCAGATTTATAATTTTCCAGCTCAGTGAATTGCTAGTATTTAAATATATTGAAAGGCCAGTGTCAGACTGCCCTGCCTCCCTGTGCTGCTGCTGGAAGGGTGCCTGAGGAGAGAAAGAAAAGGAGTAGAGAAGAAAAAACAGGGCAGACAGCTATGATGGTGGGAAAAGCCTGCAAAAACAGAAGGGATTAGAGTGCCCAGAGGGGCCTAAGGCTCAGAGCTGGCCCTTGGTGTCTCCTCAACCCTCCTCTTGCTCCCAGGTGGGAGCAATGAACACCACTAGGTCACCAGACAGGGTAAGACTGGTTTCTTTAGAGAGGTACAGCCCATCACTTTGGCTGTTAGATGAGGCCCAAGCTGCCTTTTGCCTCTTGCCCGCTGACTTAACCAGGGAATATCAGGAGAACAGGACATGAACTCTGCACCATGCCTCAAATCCGAGTACGCTTGACACAGTGTGGTGGGGAAAAAAGGTGTTTTTCACCCTGGAGTTAAAAAATGATAACCCTCAAGGGGATGGTGTCACTTGATGTTGATCCAATCAGCACCCCTGCAAAATTTAAACATATTGCACCAGACCAGAAAAGAAGCATGATGAGATAGTTGGAGAAGAAGTGGCCATGTTTTAGGCCGTGAGGGGAGAAGGGGCAGGAGCCCTGCTGGGGGCCACGGTCCCCCAGCCCCCTGGATGGGGTTGCAGAAACTCAGAAACAGTGTTAAACTGGACCGAGGTGTGTGACTGAAAAGCTGGGAGTTTTTCTCCACTGGGAGTTTTTCTCCACTGTGAGTGGGCAGCAGGAGCGGTGGCAGAGACAGCACTGAGCAGAGAACTGTGGCCAAAGGCCAAAAGAGATAAGAGGGAAGCAGCAAAGGCGGCATGCAGCAACACGGAGGGATATCCTGCAAGGAGAGAAAGAGCCAGCAATAGAGCAGAGAATGCTCAATAAAGACAGTTTTGGGGTAAGAACTGAATCAGCTCCCCCCAAAACCCCTTTGAGACCCGATCCTAGGAGGAGGGGGCGGACTCCTACTTGAGGGAAGTCTTGGAATGCAGCAGCACCGGAGAAAGAGGAGCTGAGAAGCTCAAGACGTCCTGGAAGCTGGATCGGGACGGCCGGACGGAATGCAGGGGAAGTGGCCTTGCTCCCCCGCTGCTGCTGCCAGGCTGGCAGCTGAGACAGAGCACAGGAGCTCTGGTAGAAAGCTTGGGTCATAGACTGAACTGAAAGCTGCCCTAAACGTTCTGACTCGGGGGAACTCGACCCCTCGAGGAAGGGACCTTCATGGGGGTCTTACACTCCCTGATATGACATGGTGAGGCGAACTTTTGTCCCGGCAATTGCAGTCCACAGGACAGAGACCTTTGATTGGAGCCGAAGGGCTAAGAGGGGTGAGAGGAGACCCCCTTGTGTGTAATGGAGAGATCCAGCTACAACTCCAGTTACGACTGCTGCATTGAAGAAGAGAGACACTGCTGCCCTGAACGTGGAAAGGATCTTTCCTTCTTCCCTTCTGGACTTTTATTAGAGGGAAAAGAGATTTGATCGAATGTAAATATTGCTTTATCATAGGAGAGATAGTTAGGATTGTGTATATAATGTATTATAATATTTATTTGTGTAATAATTGTAATATAATTCCCTTCCCCCCATATTGAGTCGTGTTGTGTCTGGAAAACCCCTCTCACACTGGGGTGAGTTGTGGCAGGGGGGCTTGGACTTGGAAATCGGATTTTGGGGGGGTCTCAAACCACGACACACAACCATGCAAAGAGGCAGGATAATTCATACTTTCTGTCAGCTGTCCTTGGTTGAGAAGGGGAAAGATGAGTCCATGCAGGATATTCCTGCTGTTGTCTGCATTTGAAAGTTGGTTTTACCCATCTGCAAAACTGTACATTCTTCTCACGATGAGGAAGGCGGGAAGAAAAAAAGAGTGGGAAACAAGATATAGTGGCTGAAAAAAAGAAAATTAATGTTGATCTAAATGAAAAATATCAGAAGGTAGAAGGGTGGGGGGTAGCAACAAAGGCAGAGCTGGGGCTTACATTTTTGTGCCTGTAGCTTGTGATCCTGACATACAGCTAAGCAACATCTTGTGGCTGCCTTAGCTGAGTAGGACAAACAGCCTTTCTTACAGACACAAAATAATAAAGTATCCAACTCTTCTCACTGTTCATAGTAACATGCATGCTCCTCAGGGCATCAGGATGGTGTTGGTTTGGACACTGCTGGTGGAGGGAGCAGCATGGCAATCTTCTGCTAACAGATCAGCTGAGTCCCAGGACACTAATTTAGGGATGAGAAAAGATTTGGGGTATGTGGATCATCTGCTGAGAACAGTGCCAGCTTGTGCCTGGTTTTAGATATGGATGGACCATACTAGGATCGTCTCTACTGCCTGACTGTGCTGCGAGGTGTGGCAGGGTTGTGCCCAGCACAACTCCCTGCCAAAAAGTCGCTCTAACCATTTTGTTGTAAGGGCTGCGGAGACAGCAGAGAGTCCCAAAGGCCTTTAAATATTGGATCCCTCATTTTCTTTGGCTCTCTGTTTTCAAAACTAAGGTGGTGTGATAACAGCCAGGAGGCTTTTAAGTCTCTCTTCCTTTGTAGGAAATTTTACTGGAAACTCACCCTGGCTTCCAGGTTGCACACATTGAATTCTTCTGTGTGTGAGGCTTAAAGATGAGACATCCATTTCCCTGGGGTGAAGCTTCCAGGAGCCTCTGAGGGAAGTCCTACTGCTGAAATAACATCCTACCCTTTCCCCTCTTCCCATCATGGTCCTTCTTTATCCTAACACGCCACACTGCTTACACAGAAGTCCATTCATGCCTGTGCCCTGTGGTACTGGATGAAGATTGATTTTTGGTACTTGGGAGACCTGGATGCTAGTCTCCCTTGGGGTGCAAGCTTTCTATAAGAGTTTGGCGTGTAGGATGGAAATGATGTCACCTCACCACAGGGCGACCTTAAGGTATATCTGAGACTGTCACGTCTGTTGTCCCTTCAGAAGGTGGAAATGAAGACAAATTAATATGTCAAAAGCACAGTTAATCAGACTTACTTTATTGCTCTCTTAGGATGAGATATCCCTCAGAGGGAACTGTTTCTTTCTGGCCATCTCAGAGTGGTCATGTTCATAGCTACCTTTAGCCAAATAAATTGTACCTGCAGCCACACCTGTCTTTTAATTTACCCTTTATAATCTGAGGTGGCACAGTCATTATTCTTTTGAAGAGATGTTGTGAAACTTAAATCCAGTAATGTTTGTGTGTCATCTACATGTGGAGGTGAGAACAGCCTATGGGAATGCCTATCAAACCATGAACATGATGTGCTGCCCTCCTGAAGGCTGTCAGAGAGGAGTTCCTCTGGCTGTGGCACCTCTGTTCAACACCACGTTCATGAGGAACCAAGCAAGTCACCTCCATGGCCTCATCTTCTTCCTGAATTGTTAGTAGCATGTGTAGGTCATGAAGTAGAAGGTTTGTTGCAGGAAAGGCAACACTGAAACGTCAGCCTTTCCAGATGCTGAAGTTCCTCAAGAGAAGTCACAGCCATACATTGGCAGAAAGTAAAGATACTGTGAAATTATTGTCAAGGGAGACAATGAAAGGCAGCTTGATGTAAAATTTCTTTTTGTTTCCTTTTTATTGAAATTGCTTCACTTTGATTACATTTAGCTCTATCACATACGCATCAAAAAAAAAGCCAAGATTCCTGCAAAACTATATGTATTTTCAGTTTGTGTTTTAAGAGAGGTTTTAATTCTACCAAAAAGCAATGCGTTTACTGAAACTATTTTTTAAAAAATATTTATTTTCGCAATATGCAGAAGTTGCACTGAAATACTTTCTTCTTTCACATGACACTTTAAGAAATAAGTTTTGCTACTTGCTTTAGCAGAATCGGAAGTTCATCTAAATTACTGTATGTCTGTTTAAACATTATGTTTTGCTCTAAAATCTTGTTCACAAAAGTCATTTTCTGGCTATATTTTTCATTATTAAGATTCTAGTCTTACTTTTTCCTGATTTTTGAAATATTTATTCTGTCACATTTCCCTGTTCCTACATTCTTGGACTAAATATGGCAATAAATAGTTGTTTACAAGGCACAAAAATGTATCACAATAATTAAGGCAAGACTGAGGCTCTCCTGATGTTTGCTTATATTGCTGTGGAAGAGTATGCACAGTTATTATGAAAACTCACCTTCAGAAAAAGACAACTGTTTGAAACTTGCACATAGAAAACAAATTTGTTTCTTCAATACGTTCTAGTATCTTTGCCACAAACACTAATGAGTATGCTCTCCTGGATTGCTCATGTGGATTTGAAAGAATGCTTTCCCTCTCTTGTTCTCTCACGGGTGCACGCACATACATGTGCACACATGCACACACATTCACATGTGCAGAAAGTGCAAGTGCACAGAAATTCCAACAGGCATTTTAGTATGTGTCAGGCTTCATAATTCAAAGTTATTTTAGGACTTTGACTGACTTTCTATGGCATATAGAGAATATGAAGTACAATAAAGCATGCTAAAGACTAGAGACCAGGTAACAGTACATCAGCAGCTAATTGTACATCACACAGCTGCAAATGAAACACAGCTAGAGACCAAGAGACATGAACAGATTCTATTATATAGGACTATTGTGATGATCTGAGAACAAAGATAGAAATTCAGATCAAAAAAAACAACCAACAAAACAAACAAACAAAAAAAAAACCAACCCAACCCAAAATTTCCAAAACAACAAAACAAACAGCTGAAAGTCCTGTGGAGTTTCTAACAATTTTGTAGTTGAAAGAGTCTTCTTATAATTCTTTTCCATGACAGAGCTGTGTCTCACTCAGGTTGGACATAACGGCCCCTTGCCGCTTTCACAATCCAGATGAGCAACAGTGATGTTTACCTCCTGTAGGATTCTCCACTTTTTTTCATAACTACTGTGCATTGGAAGAGTGAGAGGTGAAAGGATCCTGAGTCTTGGAACTGGTGCAGAGCAGGGTAGTGGACACAAAGAGGCTCTTCGTGCTTTATCTGTCCTCACAGCATTAAAACAACAGTTTTGTCATATTTTGCTGTACATATGAGGTGTTCTTGCCAGGCAGCAGGAGAAGCAATGGAACTCGCGTCCTTTGGGCTACACACGTCCCAGTGCTCCAGGGCAGCCTTCATTCTTCTTTCAGAGGTGGTTGTGACTGCCCTAAGAAACACTCTTTCCAATTTCCCACAGTCTGCAGGAGCCACTTCTCAAACCTTTGGACATTTGAGCACCATTCAAATGTCCAAATGGGATTCCATCTTGCTCAGTTAAAGAGGGTTTCTTTCATTAACTTATGTGTAAGGCCCTGGTGTAATATGATTTCTTGTGGAGTGAGATGTATGTGCCCTTAGGTAAAGGGAAGAATATCACTAGGCAACAATGTCAGTACACAAAGTAATTAAAGTAAGACCGATTTCCTCACAAGTGCAGATTGCCCTACTCTGTGCTTGCATAGCAGAGTGGGCCAAGTTTTCTCATGTGGGAGGACAGTAGAGAGGATCTTCAAAGGATTTTCAGATAAACCTGCGTGACTTCCTGAGGATGACTAATATTGAAGATGGATGGTTGTTAGAGAAAGATACAATTGCTTTTCCATTTTTTTTAAACATACAATTTACAGTAGTGCTATTTTTTAGGTTGTTGGCTGGTTTGGGTTTTTTTTGTCCTTGTTGGCGAAGGTTACTTGTTACAAACACGTCTATTAAGCCATTTCCAGGCCCCAATCTCCCTTGCACGTACGGCAAAACATTCTGAGTTTTCAAACTGGAAAAATATTTAGCATCCTAAAATGGTCTCTGTGTTGCTTTGAAGAATTCATTCAGCTGTTGGCCTGAAGCCTTACTGAGATATGTGTACTGCTTCTGGTATATTGTATATTACAGTGCCTGTTCAGAAATACAAACACCTTATAGATAAAGAATATCAAAGGGATAAATAACCTTTCTGTTTGAAAGATTACTTTTCTATTGAAAATATTTTTGACCCCACTAGAAACAGAAAGTAGACTAATTGAAAAAAACTACTTTTAAAAAAAATCAAAATTTGCAGCATAAAATATAACCCATTTTTGTTTTGTCTTCTAAGCTGTTGACACACTGCACAGCCCTTTTTCACAATGCAACCTCATGCAGTCTCA